TTTTTACATTTACTTTAATTGCTATCACATAGGGGGGCTTACAAGCCTCCCATGTGATAGCATATCGGTGGTGACTGGTCCTCTTAAGGTGACCCCGGGGGTCCAAATGACCCCTAGTTTCACCTTTCCATTTTAAATAACTTCACTTCAGGAGGTGGGAGCAATGATGCCTATGGGACTTTACCGACCCGTAGAAGCGATCTGGCAGCAGCTGAGCCTCCAGAATCGCTTCTATTGTAGAGCAGCCAGCAGGCTTTACAATCGCAAACAGAGGGGCCTGCTGCTAATGATTTATCCCTTGCATACCATATTTTTCTTTTTCTCCCCAATCTTCCCATAGTGGCCATTTTTACTAAGGGCACATTAAAATATCTCCCTTTACTTCCTGGAACTTTGACACATGTGACCAGGCCCAGATTTCCCAGTTAAATAAAAAAATAAAAAGGTGATTAAAAAGTAAAAAATAAGAAAATAATTATAAAAAATAAACAATAATAAGATAACAACTATAAAAAAGTAGGGGGGCGTATTGTGGAACCTGGCCTTGGGGCGGCAGGGAGAGTAAATCTGGCCCTGCATGTGACTAGAAAATGTGACCATGCACATCATCTCAGGGGAGGAAAATGTCTTTCCCTGAGATGTTGTGAGATTACAGATGAGATTTCCCAGCAATGCTCTGCTGATGTAACCTTCCCAGAATGCAATGCTTGGGCACAGATTACATCACCAATGCCCAAGAGGACCAGTAAGTGGAAAAATAATTGTAAGTAAAATCAAAATATGTTTGTTTAACTAATGAATGTAAGATGATTTTTTTATGAGCATGCAGAGTATAGGAAACCTGCTCAACCTGTAACCCTATATTTTGCACAAACTGGGAATTGCCAATGCTCAGAAAAGGTTCCGTCTGCACCAGTAGTAACAATAAATATAACGCAGGTTCCAGCACACAGCTTCAAATTATGATCCTTTATTAAATATCAGGTGAACAGTTCACATCATAAACCTTCTAACCCATTTCAATCACACATGGCCTTAGCCATGTGACTAAGGCTTTGTGTGGCTGAAACTCAGTAGCAGGCTTATGTGAATTGCTTATCTGATATTTAATAAAGGATCAGAACTTGAAGCTGTGTGCTGCAACCTGCATTATATTCATCACCTAGAAAACATGACTTTAAACCTTGCGATGCATACAAAGAGCACAGAATACTTGCTCAGTTCATCAGTGTCAGTATAGTGCCAGTATAGGCATCTGGTACAGCAGCTGGACTGTGAAGCCTTTTAACACTAGTTCACAAAGAATAAGGAAGGACAACTGCTATCTTTATGAAGAAATATTTGTCCTTTCAGTAAATCATAAATCCTAGCAAAACCTGGGTACTCTATCACCCATAACTATTTAATAATAGACTGAAATAATGTAATTACACAAGTATCCAATTCTGCTTCCATATGCAAGTGGTTCTCTTGAATAATTAATCATGTCAATAAATTGTATTTCTGCATTTTTCAAGTTATATTGAAGCATTTTAGCAGCTTGCACTTCACATTACATAAACATGTTTTAAAGAAACAGAAATAGAATAATCGATTAGCTCCGTCACTAATTACCAGCTCCTTGGAGTTGATGGTCTAGCTAACACGTTACATTAAAAAAATCCTTGCTCATTCACACTATGCACAACATTTGCACTCCTACGTTCATACACCTACATTAACACAGTGTATTTCAAAGCATTAGTTGCGCTTCATTTGCATAATTTTGAAGCCAACCTAACTGTATGGACAACCGGACCTGACCTTTTTTGTAACACAGCGCAATGCACAGCTTGTGAATTGTTTTCTTGCAGTGCAGGTGCATTTCTGCCTTCCGTAACAGTGTGCAGGGAGAACACACAAAAAAAAACACTGCTCCTCCACTGCTCTGGAAAGGGATGAGCCAGGTGCTTGCCACTGGGAACACATCCTCACTTTAATATGAGCCCATACAAACAGAAGAAAAGTTGGCTGCACACCGGATTCTGCTGGTATACTTTATTGAAGCGTGTACCATATCACTGGTGTACCGCCCAAGGTCCACCCCCTTTGGCTGACGCATTTTACCCAATCACAGGCGTAGTCATAGAGATGACCAGTGATGTGGTACTAGCTTCAATAAATGATCCAAGCGGAATCCAGTGCATGGACAGCTTTTCTTCTGTTTGTATGGCCTTCTATAACAGGGTGTTGTAGTTTCATTTAAAATGAATGGTATCGCGAAGCAAGGCACTGTGGTTTGGGCTTTACTTTTCGTTCCAATGAGATGCAATAAAAAGTGAGTTTTTTTTATATTTCAAGTTTATTAAGGTTTTAAAAAAAGGAATCATTACAAACAGAAGGCACAAATTCAGCATCTAGTAACGTAACACAATAACAACGGAATACCAGTGAAAAGTGTAAAAAAAAAAAGAAGGAATACTCTAAGCCTAAAAAGAAATCAAGAATACGGAGATGGGGAGGGAGGAGAAAGTAGAATGGAAGGTGAGAAGAGAAGGTGAAGATAGATAGAAGAATGGACAGATGTGGGCACGGGCATCCAGTAATCTAAGGCCACAAGTGTTCTTCATGTATAATACTCATCAATTATAACTCAAAGTGATACAAGTATTGTCAATAACTAGGGTTGCACAGATACCAAGTACAGTACTCGGTACAAGTGCGAGTACATGTACCGATACCTTTGAGCTCCAAGACTACACTAGAGAAAATTTCAAAAGTTAGGTGGCAGCTGTGATTTGTAAGGAGCACACGTAGCTCCTGGGATTTGTGCATCTCTGTTTTAATGTACGATTTTGTTTTTATAAATATAAATAAAGGGATGCACAGATACCAGTTTTGCGAGTACGAGTACTGGTACTTGCCGAGTACTTACAAGTACGAGTACTGATACATTTTTGTTTATTGTCATGTGACAGTTTTTCTAAAACAATACAGACTAATGATTTCAGGACAGTGGTGGAGCACCAGAGCCAGGTCCCAGCAGCAACCGCTGCAGCCCTGGTAGTTCTCATGAAAATGCCAAGTATCTGCACTGGTACTCGAAAAGTATCTGTGCATCCCTAGCAATAACTCTGATAATACAGTGATTCTATTAACTGAAAATTATGATATGACTTGGACATATTGGGAGGTTTGTTTGAATGTAATCCAGGGCTGCCAGACAAGTTCATATTTTGCAGTTTAATCGCATTTGGCGAATGTCGATTCCTCCATCAGACGAAAGTGTTCTATTTTGTTGAACCATTCTTTTAGTGACGGGATCTTCAAGGTATTCCAATGGACAAAAAACAGGGCACAAGGTATCTAACCAGTAATAGCTCAAGAGAGCTATAAACTATAAATGGGAGGAATGTGGCATGATAGTATTAACCACTTCAAGACCAGGTGTTTGCACCCCCTTCCTGTCCAGGCCATTTTTCAGTATTCAGCGCTGCAGTACTTTGACTGACGTTTATTCCGTCATGCAACGCTGTACTGAAATGAATTTTATACCATTTTTTGGGGACAGATAGAGCTTTATTTTGGTGGTATTTAATCACCACTGGGGATTTTATTTTTTACTATGTTAAGGAAAAATTATTGAAATTGTTGGGAATCGCACATCACGGGACCTCATACAAGCGATCCGCCGGCTCTGTAGCCGGCGGATCACTAGTATATTAACGGGCATCGCTGCCTGTTTTCAAATAACGGGCATTTCCCGCTCGCGCGCGCTGCTGGACATGGGGGGGCATGAGGGGGCGTGGCTGAGCGGACGTCTAAAGACGCCCACTCAGATCTAGAGAGCTCCTGGCCGGCCGTTTTTTTACAATGGCCGGCCGGGAAGTGGTTAAAGAGGCCTCTGAAGGTGTTTGCTAAATCAAGATCTGTCATTGCTTCCGGAAGGCCGCGAACACGGAGATTGTTCCTGCGTTTCCGATATTCCTGGTCCTCTAAATCGGTAAGATAAGGCTCCCTGGGTTTGCATGCTGAGTGAAATTGAGCTTGTAAGGCAGTGATTGACTGAGCGTGAGTCCAGGCGGCTTTCATTGTCCTTCGGTGAAGCAGGTGAGTGACTTCACCCCTCAGGGGCAAAATGTCCGCCTTCAGGGACTGTTTAAGATGAGTGAACGTGTCTGAGAGCTCACTTTTGGTAGGAAGCTCTCATACCAGTTCGTCCATAGGAGAAGGCAAGCATTGTTCCTGCTCATCTCCTGACCCAAAAAGGGTTTCAGACAAAGCGCTGGAGAGTACTGGACTGGCCAGCAATGAGTCCAGATCTAAATCCCATAGAACATCTAAGAAACATGGTTACAGGAAGAGATTGATTTCAGTTATTATTTCCAAGGGTTGTGCTACCAAATATTAATTGATGGTGCTAATAATTTTGTCCAGTCCATTTTTGGAGTTTTGCGTGGAATGTGTCAGATTTGGCTTTTTTTTCTCCACTTTTTTGTGTGATACCAATACAAACAAAATAAATAAACATGAGAATGCCTAAACATTTGTAATTGCAACACTTTTCTGCGTGAAGTGGTGCATTACCTGATAGAAATGCAGGAGTGCCAATATTTTTGTCCATGACTGTATATACTGTATATCTATCTATCTATCTATCTATCTATCTATCTATCTATCTATCTATCTATCTATTTATAATGCACAGTGATATATATAAATCTGTGTTGTAGTTATATGTTTTGAAACACAATCTATTTCCTTAGCAAAGTAGGAAAGAAAACTTTAAAATTCTAAAGTTCATGCAAAAAGTGTTGGAAAGAATAGCTGTGCCAACTTAAATAGTCAGCATAACACTACACAGAATCGTAAATATATACCAGGGTTGGAATTGTGGGAACCCCTTTGTAGTGAAAAGAAAGTGAGATGGATGAAATAAGGCTGATGCTGTAAAATGTAAACTCAGGGCGAGTAGAGTGTATGACCCCTAATCCTAAGAACAGTTACAATGCAGCTCTCACCCTTGAACTCTGCGCTCGTATACCAGGACAAAAGGGTCATCTATGGCAATGTTTTGATCACAAGCTTTGTCAGCCCTGGAATGTGTTTTCTTATCTGTAGCAATCCACACCTGACAAACCAGAAGCTCTGTTTTCCCAGAACTCACACACATTTTAAGTCATAAACAGATAAAGCATGTAAATCCCTTCCTGATACACAGTTACAGTAAATAATACAAGTTCTTCTACTATGATCATCATGGCTTCAACGGTGAGATTTGTAATAGTGCATATAAGCCTTAGATCAGAGATGCCAACCCTGCACTTAGACCCGAATACTGATGATTTATAAAAAAAAAAAACTTTATACGACTGTCTGAACTAATTATGTGCTTAAATCTTGGAAGAAAAATACAATACAAGAGGTTTTAGCTACACTACAGAATGACATGTACACTTGTACTGTGCTAATGAGTGAAGTGTTCATTGCAGTATGCTACTAAGGTACATGTCACACAGCACACTGCAAGGGAACAGTCTCTCTACAGCTTGGAGTCAGTGGTGGAGCACCAGGGCCCAGTTGCAACTGTGACCGCTGTGACCCTGGTAGATCTGCCACTGACTCAAACCTGTAGAGGAACAAATCTCAGCAATAGATTATATAAAAATGCAGAATATTGCCCACCATAGAGAACTACATATCCCAGAAATACATTATACAGCAATACAGAATACTGCCAACTATAGAGGACTACAGATCCCAACAATACATTATATAACAATGCAGAATACCAGCTATAGAGGACTACATATCCCAGCAATACATTATACAGCAAAGCAGAATACCGCCAACTATATAGGACTACATATCACAGCACTGCAATATACAGCAATGCAGAATACCATCAACTATAAAAGACTACATATCCCAGCAATACTTAGGGGGGCTATGCAGCTCTTAGGGGGCTGTGCAGCTCTCAGTGGGGCTGTGCGGCTTTTGGGGGGCTGTGTGGCTCTCGGGGGGCTATAGGACTACATATCACAGCACTGCAATATACAGCAATGCAGAATACCATCAACTATAAAAGACTACATATCCCAGCAATACTTAGGGGGGCTATGCAGCTCTTAGGGGGCTGTGCAGCTCTCAGTGGGGCTGTGCGGCTTTTGGGGGGCTGTGTGGCTCTCTTTGGGGGCTGTACAGCTGTTAGAGGGGCCCATGCAGCTCTCAGGGGGCCTTGCGGCTCTCAGGGGGGCTTTTGGCTCTTAGGGGGGCTGTGCGGCTCTCGAGGGGGCTGTGTGACTTTTGGAGGGTGTACGGCTCTCCAGGGGGCCGTGTGGCTCTCGGGGGGCTGTCCCACGCCTCGAGGGGCTGTGTGGATCTTAGGGGGGCTATGGAGGAAATGTTTTACACTGGATTACTACACAGATCTGGAAGAAATACACAAAGCTCACCAAGATTCAAGTAAGAATACAGATGACTCTTGTATTTAGACAATATTTGCTTATGCCAGAACTGAGCTTTAACAGATCCCAGGAAAATGCAGCTGAGCAATAGTTATTGCCTAAAACTCAGAGCATAGCCAGAGGTTACATAGTTTCATAGACTAAAAATACAAAAATATTGATCAGGGCAGGTTTAGCTGATGGAAATGTGTGTCTTTTGTGTGTGTGTGTGGTATAACGTCCACACTATGTGGCTGATTTACTCAGGCTCCATTCACACCTAAGCATCAGCATTTAATGCACGTTTTTATATGCGTTTTTGCTTTGTGTGTTTTTGCCTGAATAGACACGCGTTTTGGACATGTTTCTGCATATGGGTGTATTGAGAGTTGTCCGATGAAAAGCAGTTCCATCCATTACATAATTCCTGTTCCTGCTTTTTATCATCAATAGAGAGGAGACAAGACCGTAGAGATGTACTCATCCACAGAACGCTTTGTGGTGGCTGTAGCCGTGACAATGTTGATTCTGAAGAAGAGAAAGCGTAGGCGACGCTTCTGGGTGCATCCTCTTATTGCAAATCGCCAGCAGCGAGGCCAGTTCTGGACCATTTATACAAAACTGCAGAACTGGGGCCATTTATGAGGAAACATTTTTTGTCTTCACCCACATGTCCCTTCAAAGGTTAGTACACATTCGTCATGATTTCTTTCCTTTCTGACCGTGCACCACATTCTATCTGCTGCATTCCCCCATTGACCCGCTAACATCCACCTTTTATTATTCTACAGTTTTGACAAGCTACTGGGTATCCTGTCCACTCATCTTGAGCGTATACTGTACACGCCTACTGTATATATACCTGTGTGGGGATGGACGGGTTAGACCCAGGGCCAGAAGTGTGTGGTTGGATGTCTTCCTTTTTCCCTCCTGTGCGGCTATCTTACATAGAGCGCTGGGTGTGATGTCACTTCCTCCCAGCACATCGGAGGAGTCGAAGACGGAGATTGTGGGTGTGGTCGGATTACATGTCACAACCGCCGGGCGCCGAGAGCTAAATTAAATTGTGCATGGCATCGGCGCCTGGTGGTTATAGGTAAAGTTATACAAGATTCGAATCCCGGAGCGGCAGGCTAATTTAGCGGGCAGGGGCAGATCCAGAGTCTAGTGCCGGGAGGGGCACTGTCGGAAAATAACGTGTTGCTTACAGAACAGATTATTGTAATAATATATTATGTTACAGTTGTTTGTTATGTATAACAGCAATTGCGCCTTTCTTTTTCTTTAACACATCCTGACATTTTTGTGTGCAGGAATGGAATCTCTGCCAAACAACATTTGGCACATTACTGTCATTAAAATGGGTCTGTCATCCACACCGCACATTACTATGTTTAGAGCTTTGTGATACACATGATCTAGGCACAGTGTGAAGAATGGAGGGCCCCAGACTGAAGGAAGGGGCGGGGGGGCTAGGAATCTGCAATGTCAGCGGTCACCAGGGCCCCCAATGCACAATACCACCAGCTATAAAGGACTAAAAATCTCAGCAATACACTTTACAGCAATGCAGAATACCATTATCTGTAGAGGACTGGTGCTGGGTCCTGTATTCTGGTCCTTGGTGCCATGGAGCTCTGGGCCAGTCCCTGGGCACACTGGTAGCACACGGGCCAGCGTCTGCTTCTCATTGATGGGCTGCTCCTGGGATTTCATGAAAATGTCTCCACATCCCCCTGCCAGCTCCCATGTTACCCGTGCCAGCTATGGGGTACAGAGCTCACCTGACCTCCCATGCCAGCTATGGGGTACAGAGCTCACCTGGCCTCTACTGTAATCCTAGCTATAGTGTACAGACCTCAGCTGACTTCTTATTCCAGTTCTAGCCCTGGCTATGAGGTACAGCTTACCTGACCTCCCCCCCCTGCGATACTCTCGCTTCTGGCAGCCTTGGGCAGCCTCTAGTTGCCACTGTGTGCACATCTCTCTTTGCCTAGTTAAAGGAGAACTATGAGGTGAGTGATTTTCACACAACCTCACAGTTCGAGCCGACGTGTGACAATGAAACTGTCACACGTCGGCTCAATAGATCGGGAAGTGAGTGAACACATATCGTTGCTCGCTCCCTTCCTGGAACTCAGGATGGAGAGCGGTGAGGTAAGTAGTATTTTTTATTAGGATGGAGAATGTTGTGCTTCGGTAGACGGCGAGAGTGTACAGTACGTCACAAATGTACTTCAAATTCCGCGGCTATATGACGTGGAGCCGGCTACGGTGGCGGATCAGAGTGACGTCATGGGACCTGATTGGGACCTGTGCACCCGCAGCTTGTTCGGTGCGGCCAGCAGCCCAGTCAGAGCGGCAGAGGGAGATACTATTTTCTCAGGGGACCCACCCCGCACAACTCCCTAGAATCTGCCTGAAAGAAGCCCATGCACCTTTTCCAGCGTTCAGCATTTTTACAGCTTGCAACAAAACTCTCAGGTGTGAACAGGGGCCATAGAAATGGTGGGATTTCTTGTGTTGTGAGTTTTGATGCGTTTAGCTGTGAGCATCAAAACGCCCAGGTGTGAACAGGGACTAAAGGGGTATAGCAGGTTTACCTTGCAAAATGAACTTTAACCTTGCAAGGGAATTTTCACTTACTTTAGTGAATGTGATGAAAATTCACTTTGCAAAGAATACCCAATCACATGCAAGGAAAATTTTAAAAATAAATAAATAAAATAACAGGATATTTTGCATTCACATCACCTCATTTCACCTTATTCACTAAACTAATCGAAAATTTCCTTACAAATTAAAAATTCCCTGTGCAAAGTGAACATGCTTTACTCCTTTAGTAAATCTCTATGACTAAGCCCTTTAATGGGTGAAACATGTCAGAGTAAAGAGGATCCATGGTGGGACGATGTGTACTTGTGAGCTACAAGACATTTTTCAGCGAAGCTTGCATTGTGACCAGACTTTTTTTTCTGTGAGTACCTGCAGAAATTTGAGCAAGACGGGCTCGGCCGGTGTGCATCCACTGTTCTCTCTGGTGCTGCTGTGAAGAGGCAGTGATATTGGGCTATGGAAGTTACTCTCCACCACTATGTACTCATGACAATAATGTGAGGCCCACTGGTTTTGCAAGTCAAACCTGCATCAGAACACACCAAGGATGCTCACCGATATTGTAGGGACCCCAAAGATTATGCAGATTAATTCATGTATTAATTCTGTACCTAATAAATGCTTAAATTATATTGACTAGAAAACTAGGTTGGCCTATAGGGCACCACATCTCATTAGATCAACATAAAGCAAAATATGAACTTTTAAAGTACCCAAAATAAACACTTTGTCAAGATACAATACTTTTATTTAGATAACATAAAAAAAATTAAAATATCCAGATAATAGATTGTTTTGACTGCATTTCAATAACATGGCTAACGTCTTCTGTACATATCCCCATCCATCACCTATTTGTAAATAGTCCTCATTATGATCTTTTACAATATATATCCAAACTGTATGTTAGAAGATGTTAATCAAAATAGGTGGCCGAGTGTAGATTTCTCAACATGTTTTCGCACATGTATGTTCCCCTGCGACTGGAGTCTTGCAGATTAAAAAAAAGTAACTATATTGCCCTCTATATGCTGACAGCGCAGAGCAACGCTGCAACCGGGAAAGATCTCAACAATATTGTCGGGATCCACCTCACTGCCTGATTGACCGC